TAAATGGAGAAGGAACAGAAAAGAATTTAGAAAAAGCCTTTTATTGGTTTCAAAAAGCAGAAGAAAATGGTTTCACTAACTTTACTGGGCAAGCTAATTTTTTTAAGATGTCATAAAAATGCTCTTAAAACGTATTTTAGCTTCTCGAAATGCTTTAAAATCATTGTTAAAAGCGAGATATCTTTAGAATACTAGAAAAGGTTTTTACAATTTAACTTTAAAAATACTATTAAATGCAAATAAAGATATCTATTTACAAAATATTGCTAAATGCTTTTAATATGCTATTAATAACTATTTAATAATTATGTATTATATTATCATTATAATGTTGTTAGAAGCTTTCAAAGCAAATACTATTACAATACATTTAATACGTTACCTAAAGCTATGAATTTATATAATCTAATCTATCCCACTAAATATTGTTAATAATATTAGCATACTACTAATTAAAGCTATCAAGTTTATATTATCTAATCTATCCCATTAAATATTGTTAATAATATTGGCATAAAGACGTGATTTTAATACTAAATCTTTAGTAATATAGTCTAATGATTTTACCTTATGTAAGGTTGCTTCATGATCACTATTGCCATTCAACTTTTCACCAATATGATGGCTTAACGCTCTGCACAAGAATGATTTTAAAATATTTAATGCATCAACATCATCTTTCATTGTCGGTGTGTAAATCATGTATGTATTAAAAATATCACGTGTAAAATCATCTGAAACATAATCTATGATTATTGATTTCGTGAATGTATTAATTCTACCAATGTTTCTATTGATAAAAAAGTTATGGTTAATTTTATAACAATAATAAACCAGTCAATATTATAAAAATTAATGCTTACTTTTCTTTTTTATAACGCTCAATTACATTATCAGCATGTTGTGACAAATCGTTATTTAAATTACAACGATATGCTTGAAAAAATTTTTTTGCTTTACTTCTTGCTACATTTATATCAGATTCATCTGCAAATGTTGGTTTTTCTGGCCACATTGCATTAATTATTAATTCAAGAGCTGTATCAGAAAGGTTTCGCATTTTCATAAACAGTGGTTTAGTAAATTCCATTACAGTAGTAATTACATGGTTCTGATCCTAAAATATAAAAAATGAATGTGAGATAACTGAAGCAATATATTTAATATATAATAAGAATACATTAATTATTATCAAAAAAAAAAATCAAATTTACCCGATATTTTCGTGTTTGAGGTGCAGATGATAAATAAGATGAGGATGATGACAATATAAAATCTGCACGATTATCAAAAAATGATTTGACACGTTTTTCAACTTCACGATTGACTGCAGTTCGTATCATAACCTCTAAATTTTCTGGTTGCAAAATATTTGCAATTGCTGAAGATATTTCATGTGAATTTATATCTTCTGAAGATATTGCCGAATTCCGAGATACAGGTTCTTTTGAAAAATGGTGCTTCGTCACAGATGTGGTTGGTCTATTTTGCACATCATCATTATTTAAGTCTTCATCATCATCCAATTTCCAATTGTCCCAATCATTAAACAAAATAGATGATGTGACGGAACTCTTGCTTTTTCTGGAACTGCTAATAAAAGTACTATCACTTAAAGGTTCAATAATATCATCCAAGTCTAACCTTTGGTATTTTCGACCTAAAAATATATGCAGATTTAATTGTGGTTATATTTTATTGCATTATTAAACGTGGATATATTTACCATGTTCTTGACGTTGCTCTTGTAGTCGCTCTATACCAGCTTTATTTTTGTCCCAACCTGTAATTTTTTCATACATTCAGTATATTAATATTAATGAGGTAATATTTTTAAAGATTAATAAAAATAAACTTGCCTTTTTGATTAAAAGCCGTTTTCTTTGGATGTTGAGATTGATGCACTTCAAATTCACTTAATTCACTTAATGAGTCACTGAAATCTTTATCATCGATATAAACTGTTACAGGAGTCTTCTCAGGACTTGAAGTTGTGGCAGGTGTTTTTTCACAACTTGAAGGTTTAGTTGAAGTTGATATAGGAGTTTTGGTTGAGGTTGTGGTGGGAGTTTTCTCACGACTTGCAGGAGTTTTCTCATGACTAGTTGAAGTTGTGGTAGGGGTTTTTTCACGACTTGATGTTGTGAGAGGAGTTTTTTCATGACTTGATGTTATGGGAGGGGTTTTTTCATGACTTGATGTTATGGGAGGGGTTTTTTCACGACTTGATGTTGTGGGAGGAGTTTTCTTATTACTGGATTTATTAGGTTCATCAACTGTAGAACCTACGGTAACATTTGTTATTACAATGAGTACGTTTTTTTTAAGTTTTATTTTTATGAATAAAATAATAGTATTGGTATTTTATTTTATTTTATAAAAGCAGTTTTATAAAAAAATATTATTTAATTGATCAAATTAGTATTACCTTTCCCTCCTTTTCCTCTTTTATTATTAGATTGTAACGTTGAGGATTTTTTTTTCCTGGGGGGCATATTTGAATTTGATTCGCAAGATAAGAAAATATAAAATATAGTACTAAATTATTTGATTCAAATATGTATTATATTAAAAAAAAAAATCAAAAACCACTACATTAAAAAAACTCCCGCAGCGATTTAAAATCTGCAGAGTTTTCATCATTATAAAATTAAGTTAATTATTTGACATTTACGGTTAGATCCTATGTCATGCAATACTTAATTTGAATTTTGACCTACCTATACATAGTTAAAATTAAAATTCGTTTCTTTTTCAGACTTTTTATTACGCAGTGTTTTCGTCATTATAAAAATATAGTCATGTAAATCTTTATTCGACATTTATGGTTAGATCCTATGCTATATAAAGCATCAGTGAATTATTTTCGATTTTATCACATGATATAGAGTACCGTTCCTACATAATTTTATTAAAATCTATCTTTTATTGGTCAACTTTCATATGTAATAATTTTTTAATTTAGCGTAATCTATATATTTTTTGATGTGGATTTTCAATTTGATTTTTTTGATTATGCTTCGTCACATTATTTTTATACAAAAAATCGCAAGTGATCAACAAAATGATCAGCATTGTGATGCTATACAGTATACTGCATTTTAACCTACCTAAATATAGTTAAAATTAAAATTTTGTTTCTTTTTCAGACTTTTTATTACGTAGTGTTTTCATCATTATAAAAATATTGTTATTATTTGACATTTACGGTTAGACTTTATGTCATACAATACTTTCTAACCTATACATAGTTAAAGTTTCTTTTTTTTTTTCACAGTTTTTTTTTTAACTCAACTGAATAGAATGTCTCGAGTTCGTTTCCGTCAAACCACGTCTACAAATCTTCCTAGATATAAAAAAAAACCAAAACCGAGTCATGTTTCCACTACTATGCAACAGTCAGCTGCGAATATGTTACCTTCAGAACTATTTGAATGGGATGACATTTTGAACGATCAAATTTCTACGGGATTTAATGGGGTATAACATATTATCTTGAAATAATATTAATCATATTGGAAATAATAATGTTTTCAAAGGAACAGCAATATAATAGTCTTGATACAGAAGACATACATTTTAACTCAAGTTATCTAAACGCGCCTGACGTTCAATCCTTAGAAAGTAACGACAACGATGATGATAACAACAATGATAACGACAATGATGATATTGTAAATCAAGAAATTGATGACGATGATGATAGTATGACAAATCAAGAGGAGATCTCCAACGCTTTACCATCATTTAAAACATATGATGGTTCATCCTATATACCGCATTTTCAAGGGGAGTATGGGCCATATTTTCCTAGCTTTACAGCAATGGCATTATTTATTTGGGTAACAAAACATATGATCAGTTCTGCAGCATATGAAGGTCTTGTCTCTATTTTGTTACATGAAAAATTCCGTGTTGAAGATGTGATTAAAAGTATACGATCAATTAAACGATTTCGTAATGGATTACCATTATTGACAATAAAAAGCCATAACGTTGAAATCTCATCAAAGGATACTCCATCAACATCCAAAGAATCAAAAGAGGCATATTTCTTTTCAGTTACAGACCATATTAAAAGAATATTAAGTAATCCAAAGTTAAAAAATGATCTTTACTTTGGGGAAGGAATTGAATCTGATTCCAAATCTGAGTTCTGGCATGGGGAATTATGGCAACGATCACCTCTCTTTGGAGCAGAATGCTGTCATCATAATAATGGTAATATGAATAATATATATATTTAACTAAAATACACCCATTAACAATGATTATTTTAAGTAATCTATTATCCTGGCGAGTTTATCAGATACGTTAGATATGATACTGAATCCCAACCACGAATTGGACAAATTTACGCTATCGTCAAAGATGATAATGATAGATTACTTATTAAGATATGTTCTACATTTTTCTATACAGAATTGCCACGTACTTATGCAAGATCACGACAAGATTCCAGACAACTTTGGCTAACAGAAAATCTAGAGATAATAGAACTTTCTCAAATAATTAATAAAGTTTCTGTATGGTTATATGATACTCAACAGCCATTATCATATGAATTTATAATCAAAGAAATTTTATATTATCATAACGCACGACTACTATTAAGAGATATTTCCTTAAGACATCATCATTCTACCTTAAGTGCGCTATCACGCCCAGATTTTCATTGTAGAAGAATTAAAATCTTTTGTGATCTTTACTTTGATGATTTCGGAACTTATAGAAACGTCTATCACAGCCTTGGAGGACTTTACCTCCAGTTTGGAAATATGAAACTTAAGAGTCGCCAGAAATTAAGAAATCATTTTCTAGTTGGGTTTGTTCCCTTTGGGGGAAAATTTGAGGATGCTATAAAACTTTTTATTCAAGATATTCAACATCTTGAACGTGGATTTTTAATGACAATTGATAATCAACAAGTATGGATTTCAGGAGGGCTTGGAATCACTACGGCAGATCTCCCACAAGGAAATGATCTTGCTGGTACTCTTAGACATAATGCAACACATGGATGTCGAACTTGTAAAGCTTCACGTGATGATTTTACAGACATATCATTTGACATTTCTAAGCATGGACGTTATCATCATTTAACAGATATTGAATTTGAAAATATACAATGTTTACCTAATAGATCACAAAAACATGCTCTTGCGAGTTCATTAGGTCTTAGATTAATTCCAAATCCTCTAGATCAATTAATTCGTGATCGTCATATTAGTACACCACAGGACATTTTTCATTGCTTTGCAGGTAAAGCAAATAGGCTTCTTATCGCAACATTTGGACTTTTAACGAATTCTGGTGAAGATACTTTTACTAGAATATGGAAATTTTTTGAAGTACCATCTTGTTGGTCACGACGACAAAATCCAATAACACATCTTGCAAGTTACTTTATGTCAGATATTTTGCGTCTTACTATGATTATTCCTTTTATTTTACGCAGATGTCTTACATCTGATCTTTTAAAACGAGAAGCTTTAATGCGTATAAAGGAAAGAATGGATTTGCGATCCCATAACTATGTAATTAATAGGATAATCAAATGCTGGGTTCAATTTTCATTGACAGCTCGTATGGTATTTTCAAGAACTCTAACAAATGAAAATTACGAAACTATACAAAAAATGTTAGAATTAGAGTGTAAGATGTTATTGGAGGTAGTGTAATATTACTTTTTATAAGATAATTTAACATTAGTACTAATTTTATTATATTTTTAATAGATTTTTCCTGAACAATTTAGTGGACTTCCGAATCTTCATATTAATCGGCATATTGTTGCACATGCTAAAACTTATGGAACAGCTTTTAATACATCTGTCTCTATTAAAGAAATGGTCCATCGAATACACAAAGGGGTCGTACCACATACAAACAAAAAAAATGTGGAATTTGATTTAATTAAACGTGATAATACTTTACAAACTTTAAGATACCTTTTGGATGGAGGGCAAGATATTCGGTTTGAACATATGATTATTGGTCAAGGCATTCAAAATATTGTTAATGACGTTGCATTAAGACCTTTATTGGATAACTGGTACATAACTTCTTCACTCTTGTCAAAAACATATGATGATGATGATGTTGAAAGTATGTATATTATTTTATATTTATTTTTGCATTGATTGCATAATAAGTATTTTACATCATAATAACATTTTTATACTACTTACATAGACACAAATATAGTAACTTGTATACCAGAAATAATGGATATTAATGTAAGATCAAAGTGGAATAAACATCAACGCGATCAAGAAAATTTCACTGTTGGAAAACATCTTAATGAATATTTTTTCAACGAACTTGCTAATGCATATGCAGAATATTATAATGATAGAGGTGCTATGATAAATTCAAAAGTGGAATTTTATAACAATATTTCATATGTTGTGAAAGATGATGATGGTTTTGTTGATGTACAATTAAGTGTAGGAGATGTTGTTGACGTATTTGAAGAAGGTGAGACAGAAGAATCTTATGCTATTATAAAGGGAATTTTTACTCATGAACGTTCAAGAAAATTACACGCATTTGTGATTTTTGATTGGTTTGAAAAAATTGGAGAAAATACACTATTGAAGTGTCCAAAATATAGGTTGCAGGCATCTGAAGAAACAAGATGGAATAGGATATTTCCAATATCATTAATTGATCATAATTCAAGGGTTCATTTCGTGCATGATTGTAATGGAGATTGTAATTATGATAGACATAATCTTTCAAATCGTTATTATTTGAAAAATATGTATTATTATTTAGCAGTATAATAATAAAATTTTATTGATATTTCACAAATACATTAAGAATAATTTATTAATATTTTAAAAAGTTATATAAAAATATCATAAAATGATTTTGAAAGCATAATATTGATATTTCACAAATACATTAAGAATAATTTATTAATATTTTAAAAAGTCGTAAAAAAATATCATGAAATGGTTTTGAAATCATAATTATAATACCATTTTTTATGATATCTTGGTAAGTATCGGAATTGGGGTTCTAACGTGGTTTTCAAAGCGATTTTTTATTATATAAAACGTTTTTACAACCATCTTAAAATTTGAATTTTAAGTACAATTATGATATCATAAAAGCATTATATGATATCTTGAAAAAATTACTTTGTCCAGCAAAGAATTCAATGCATAATTTAGCCTTATGTTATGTAAATGGAGAAGGAACAGAAAAGAATTTAGAAAAAGC